TTATTTAAGCAGAAGCCTTCATTTCAATTACATATTTTTATTTAATAATATTTATATGTTATCTAAAACCGGATCAAACAAGAAACTGGGTGCTTTTCTCTCTTCGTAATAGGCTTAATTTTTTGTCTAAATCTAAAATAATTTGAAAATGGTTATTAGGCACATCTTAGATATATTTTTCAATATATTCAAGCCCTCCTCTTGAAAATATAACGTGCTTTATTTTAAAACCCTTATTTTTTAATCAAAAACATGAATCAATTGAAGATTTGTACAAAATATGCCCTTGAACTCCCAGAGCCTAACGAGCACAAAAATCATATGTATAATAAAAGTGCCACAAACAAGGCTCGGCCAAAAGGGGATTTCCTTTCTGACGACACTTGGAATGTCACTAACAGGACGACGACTCTATTTTTAGGCCACTCGCAAAAATATGATTATTTTCATTTCGGGGCCTCCGGCGATACTCCTCCACGCTCCCACTGTTTCCGTCCTCCGTCTCTCTTTCGCCTGTGTGTCAAATGCTGATTAAGTACCGTTATCGCCGCCGCATATCCGGAATGCCAGGCTACTTTCCGGACTCCATTCCGGGTGTCCATTGACAGGAGCCATTCCGCAGGATTCGAGTGCCTCAAGTGCCCGAGAGAGTGTGCGTGGGGGTGCGTGTGCATAAGTGTGTGCGATTGTGTGTGAACATTAATCAGATTATTTATTTTTGCCATGAATTTATGGCAATTCCTGTGAGAGGACCTCTGGGGCACAGAAGGAGGGGCCCAGAGAGGGCCATGCAAATCGGAACGATTGACAATTGCAATTTAAGTCTCTCTGTTTTCCGAGCACTCCACATCGCTCATACGGCACGGGGTCTTGAGAAAAAGGATGGCAAAGGACACTTTTCAGAAAACGCAAATGGGGACTTTCAACTTCTTGGGCTATTTACTTTTTTTAATTAATTATTTAAGTTAATTTATTGAGGTAGGTAAATGTTTTATTTTAATATTTCGGCCTGGAGTATCTCCCCCAATTTTATCCATTTTCTGTTTACTTTCAAGCGGCTCGTTGGTCTAGGGGTATGATTCTCGCTTCGGGTGCGAGAGGTCCCGGGTTCAATTCCCGGACGAGCCCTACTTTTTTTTTTGGTTTTTCCCCAGTTTTGGGAAAATTTGTTACAAGGATAAGGTAGGCTATAATATATTTTCTTACAAATTTATTTTCTAAATAAATAAGAAGAAAATTGATATGACTTTTTTAAATTTGAAATAAATTTAAAAATATAACTTTCGCTTTGGATGCCAGAGATCCCTGGTTCAATTCCCGGAAGATCCTACTTTTTCCATCTTAGAGACATCCAATTTATCCAACCAGCTTACATAACTTATTAAATATATAATCCTCGAATTGGGTGCGAGAGATCTCCCCGAGAAAGAGTTATACTTTCTAATTAAAGAATTTTCTTAAAAAAATAATTTTAAAATATTAATTATTGAGGAGAATTAAAAGCTTCCTACTATAAACAACATAGATTTTTCTGGACCCAGAAACCTACATTCATATTTGGTATTCCCTTCCCAACCACTACTAGGGCTGCCACTACTAGGGATTGCTGGCTGTAATCCAACTTGTACGGGACCCATTTCTGGGAAAAGTCAGTTTGAAAAGTACTGGCCGAGCTGCATACAAAAGCAATTAACGGCGCCAAACAAACAGTGCCCGAGGGAGCGGGATGGTTGAGACGCGGCGGAGAAAGTAACACAGAGGAGCCGGGTGGGATTCTAGTGGCAGACAGAAAAGCAAACACAGTTCTGATAAGATTACTACGGAGAACATGGTCGGAGGCGGATGCGGAGAAGGAGATGGAGATGGAGTGTGTGAGTGCCAGACTAAAGCTACTTTGACTTGCTGGACTAGGAAGGACTCGGAGCCCTATCCCATAACATCCTTTGGGGGGCGAGGGGTGGCCTCCTTCCTGCTCCTGTGTGTGCACGCTTTTACACTTTCAATGACCACTTGAATGTCAACAAAAGCTTTCAACTGACATATACAACCACTTAAAATAGAAAAGCACTGGCCTATACACACACACACACTTCCCCGCTTACACACACACTCCCCCGCTTACACACACACACACCCTCTACTCACATATATCACATACATGGCATGGAGGACTAACTAACATGTTTGTGTATTTGTTTTAGCCGCGAGTTAAAACGAGCCATGGCAGCCAAACAACATCCTAGCAGCCAACACTGCGTATGAGTAACATGTAGTCCGAGTGTTTATCTCTGCCTCTGTGTGTGGGCTCTGCGTGTGTGTGTACTCGCCACGCCCATTGCTGACAGCACCCCCTGCTCCGTGCCCCCTGGCCCCTTTTGGCTTGCTTGTTTGTCTGTTAGCTTGTGTCATAAGCAATAATTCTCCATTGTTGGCATCTCGTTCGTTTCGAGGCCCCCGCGGCTTCTCTTGTTGCTTCTCCGTTTTGGGGCCGAGGCCAGGGGGTGGCGGGGGGCAGCCCAGAGGTGAGGGTTCAGCCGGGGAGCAGCCTCAACCTTTGCTGGCGCGCACATTTTTATGAGTTAAGTGCTATCCGACACAAATGCCAACGCACACAAAGCGCGCTCGGCCCAGGACCCAATCTTCCTCACCTTCACGTTGCCAATGTTTCGGTGCTGCCACTGCCACTGCCACTCCAGCTCCAGCCTCCAGCTCCCCCTCCTTCCGGGCAGGGCTTCCTTGCATTTCTCATTTCCTCAGCATTGGAACTGGACCGTGTTACTGCCCACTTATTGTGCTGTTGTTGACGCAAATCCTCTTAACTAAATCAATTTTCATTTGTGTGTTGGAAATGCCCCTGGACTCGAGTTGAATAATACGTACTTGTTGTTTTTTTTCCCCCCGTCGGAGCGAGGGGAGGGATTTATGTATTTGCGAAGATCGCGGATGTGAGTGAAAGTAAGCGAGACAGGTACAGCGAGATCGAGCGAATCAGAAAGAGAAGGCGCCTGAGCATCGAGAAATGTGAAGCATACTCTTGGGTGTCGCAACACAAAATTGGCAAGTAACTTTCCAAAATAATAAATATTTGCCAAAAAAATTAGATTTAATAAGGTAAAATATTTTATATAATTCCGACTTAATCTAGAATATTTAATAAAAAATTATAAAAATTAAAAAAATGAAAAGTATTTGCTTCAAAACCCTTCAAGAAAAAAATTGTAAGCAAAATCATTTTAAATTCGCAAAATCTGATTAGATCTCTCCATCTCGCTCTTTTCAAGTCTGTCTCTGTCTCTTTCCTTTTAGCCCGAGCCTAGCCGTCCCCTCGACAGGCGGCTCGTTGGTCTAGGGGTATGATTCTCGCTTCGGGTGCGAGAGGTCCCGGGTTCAACTCCCGGACGAGCCCAAGTCACCTAACATTTTTTCCTGATTTTTATAATCTTAGTTCCTGTTTTAAATGTTGGCATTCGAGTTTTTTTGCGTCCACTTCGGTGGACCGTCGATGAAAACAATAAATATTTAAATAACCACGCAATTGTGTGACAAGTTTTTGTACATTTGTTATTGTCACTGGCCAGCAGCAGGCAGGCCTGTTGTTAATTTCATTTGACTTCCAGGGGCTTTGTTTGGGTTTTTATGTTTTAATAACGCGACGCTGTCCCGGGAAATTGCAATTGAAATTTTTGTATAAATCGCCGGCGATAAAATAAACATGCAATTAAATGTGACAACCCGACAGCTTGCAACTTGCAACCAATTAAGAAACCTGCCACGGCTATAAACTGCAGCACTTTGCCATCAAAAATACTCAAAGTCTACGGCCCTAAAATATTGCCAGGATGTTCAGAAAGATATTTTTTTAAATGTGATCCTTAGTCGGGAGTTTTGAAAAATATGTATGCTTTTGCCATTTTATAACCATGTGGCATGCATCATGAAATATGCAAGAAAAAAACACACACATGCCCCTTTTTGGTGCCACCACGTATCCTCTTTGGCAAATTTCCGGAAACATTTACGGCGGACTGGGACTGCGAGTGGGTGGGGGAGTGGGAGTTTTTGCATGCAAAGGAGAAAGTCAAAATCCGGCCGGGACCACAAACCGAATGCTGATGAGCCAACGAAAGTGGACAAGTCGCCGGGCCAAAGGCACTTCCCGGCCATCTGTCAGTCAGCCAGTACGTCAGTTTGCCAGTTTGTCAGTCAATCAGTTAGTCAGTTTGTCAGTTGGTCGCTTAGCCAGTCGGTAGTCGGCAGACGGCAGTCGGCGGGAGTGGTAAGAAAAAGTTGACCAGACAGTCTGTCAGTCAGTGAGTCAGTCAATCGAACAATCAATCATACGGAATGACAGCAATGTCGGCTTAAGTCAAAGGCACCAGGCCGAGACAGGATGAGTTTGGCTCACCAAGGATATTATACACACCAAAAAAAAAGGATACGAAATGTACATATATTACCTTTGTCACTAAAGACTAAAAATAATTATTTTAAGACTAAGCACAAGACTTCTTAAGTCGTAGATTTCAAGACCTTTTTTTCCAGTGACCTAATTTTTATTTTCTATAAATTGTACTCCCTATTTTCTCAGTGTACTTTCCCTCGATTTAGCACTTCGATTGCTTAAGTTTCTCGTTTGGTTCTCGCTTTACAGCCCGTGCTCCTGAGGAACACATTGATTTATTTGCCGGCAGCACCAAAAATTGAATGTTATTGCTTGAATGGCCGCAATTTACTAAAAAGCCACGCCCCACCAGACTCTTGACCCCTGACCTCGCCGCCTTGCCGCCCTCCGTTCTCACTTCTCCAAATAAATTTAGCTTTGGCTCCATCCTGCTTTTTTTTTTTGGGTTATTTATGAGCGTGTTTATTTATTATATGACCCAACACTTGATAAAATTAAACGCAAATGGCTGGCAATTTTGCATTTTTTTCTCCAAAGCAGATCACCAAATTTGTATTATATATTTATACGTATATGTAGAGAAGTGTTAGAAACTTACCAGAAAATAGACGGCAAATGGCATTACGACCACGGCTACCAGGAGATCGGCTATGGCCAGTGAGACTATAAAATAATTCGTGACTGTTTGCAGGGAGCGCTCCCGACAAACGGACAGGATGACTAGAATGTTGCCGAAGAGGGTCAGGATGGGGAACAGAATCAGGATGAGCGCCCAGTAGTTGTGGTCCACTAAAAATGTACAAAAAAATTATAATTTTTACTAGGTAATTATTAATACTACTAAGAAAATATAAAGAGAAAATTTAGACTAGAAAAAGCAATATGGAAAGATTTATTAAGTCAGGTGGCAGTCTGGGTCTCACAAATACCGTCAGACTTCTTCAAATTCAGCGGTGAGACCCGGTGGATTAGCCCTGGGATCAGGCCTGATTGCTAGAACAAGCGGCCCTAGTTTTGTACTGAAATTTTTGAAATATGCTAAATACTCTTTTTTAATTTAAATATTTTAATCACTTAAGACTCCGCTGGGAATTGAACCTTCGCGCTATTGTTTATAGCATTGAAACGCATGCCTTAACGATATTAGGTATAGGATATGTTTCTACAAATGTTGCACCTATGAAACAATCTAAGTTTTTTTTATATTCTCATTTAACAAATTCTTGAGTATAACACTTGACCTTGAGACTGCGGCTTAATAACAGTAAACAATATGTAACTCATAAATCAGCTTCCTCTGCAGGGAATCGAACCCACGACCTTCTGATTAGGAGGTAGAAAACTTAACCATTGACCCATGCGGTAAAAGTTTTTCGCGTAAAAAATTTTGAAGGCCTAGAAAACTGTGGAGATTTGTATTAAATATTGAATATGCATAAAGCAGCCCATCTACAGGCGGGCATGTTGTGCCCACATAGACAAAATTTTAACGATATTTAAAAAAAATACTGTGTCCCAAGCATGGGCATATACTTGAAAACCTAACAAAAGTTTAATATCAAAATAATATTCAATTCAAGAATGTTTTGGGAAAAAAGAATTGTATGAAAATACAAGAGTTTGTGGGAGGAAATTTCAAAAAACACATTCTTTTAGTTCAACTCATATTGGCTTGTAGTTTACTTTTAATTCATCAAAAATATATTACGAATCAAATTTAAGTTATGTAATATAAACTACATTAAATCGGTAAGCAGCCATATCTACTGATTAGGACAGTCTTTCGGGGACTGTTTCTTGTTTTCAGGGGCCTGTTAGCATCTCTAACTTCACTATGAAAAAGGAGACCGAAAGACAGAGAGGTACGTAATTATATGTAAGAATTTTACAATTAAATTAATTTATTGAATTAATAATATGCATTGCCTTCATTATATTTACAGGTAATTATACCCTTGCAGAGGGTATTATAATTTTGTCCAAAAGTGTGCAACGCAGTGAAGGAGACATCTCCGACCCTATAAAGTATATATATTCTTGATCAGGATCACCTCCTGAGTTGATATGAGCATGTCCGTCTGTCCGTCTGTCCGTCTGTCCGTCTGTCTGTCTGTCTGTCCGTTTCTACGCGAACTAGTCTCTCAGTTTTAAAGCTATCGACTTGAAACTTTGCACACACCCTTCTTTCCTTTGCACGCAGTATATAAGTCGGAACGACCGGGATCGGTCGACTATATCCTATAGCTGCCATATAACTGATTGATCGGAAATGGTATAACTTTGGTGTTTTTAAAGTTAGAAAGTTCTAATTTAACATGAGAGCTATTTTTGGCAAAACAATACGACGTGCCAAATTTCATAAGGATCGGCCGACTATATCCTATAGCTGTCATATAACTGAACGATCGGAAATGACCCAACTTTCGTGTTTTTGAAGATAGAATGCTGGAATTCCATACAGATTCTATTTTTGGTCAGTTGATCCAACCTACCAAATTTCATAAGGATCGGCCGACTATATCTTATAGCTGCCATATAACTGAACGATCAGAAATGGTATTTGGTGTTTAGTAAAAATAACAACTTTGTTTTTTTGACGATAGAAGCTTGGGACTTTTTTTTAGATTTTGTAATTTAATTAATTGGTTTTATTATAATGTAATCATAAGGATCGGCCAACTAAATCCGATGTTTGCGATATATATCCGGTTTTAACTGCAAGGGTATATCAACTTCGGCTCCGCCCGAAGTTAGCTTTCCTTTCTTGTTAAAGATTTAACATAGTTGGGCGGTTTGAAATTCTTGGTAAATATGGAAAGGTTCTTGCAAAAAAAGAAGTACACCGCACCGCAATTGTTACTATAGGCTTTGACTACGATTTTACTTTGCAGAATATGATCCTCTGGAATATTGGAAGGAAAGTTTGATGTATTTTTAATATTTTTTAATTAATAACTTTATATTCCTATAGATTAATTATCTCCAATGCGGTTCCCTTGCGCAATGCGCAGTAAAATACCTCTGTATCACCTCGAATCAGAGAGAACGTTCAGCAAAGCGGGCCAAATCGCATATGACAGAAGATCTCGCCTTCAACCAAACCCCAAAAAAAAGTTACTTTTTCTTAAGCAAAATCAATGGCTTATTGATTAAGTCATAATTGTTACTATTCTTTAAGCAAAATGTTACTATTCCTTAATAAATATAAAAAAATTGAAATATAAATGTTATTCCTTTTTATTCAACGATGTTTTTAGCGATATATCGATCTTTTCAGTAAAACATCGATGTACCCACTATCGATGTTTTTCCATCACTACCTACCATCCACCTAAAAGAAAAGCTACTCTTGCGGTTATTTGACAATTGGAGCTATAAGATATCCATAGGATCGAGCGGCTGAGGGCTGCTTCGTACAAAGCTTGTATCTTAGTTGGCTGTGACCATATCTAAAAATATTCAACAAATATCGATACCAGCAGGAGACCAGTGCCGAAGCGTCAAGGCATTGAAACGTTCAATCAACTCTCTCAACCGAAATCAACTCTATATATTTCTTTGAAAAAGCAACTAAAACCTAAAAAAGTTGGGAAAAATCTACCAAAACAAAGACGTATGTATCAGCTCTGAAGTATTAAAATCAGGTCAAGACTTTATCTTAATTCAACATAATCAAGACTTTTGGAATTTCTACAGCAAGGAAGATCGAAATGGAACGCTTCCGCAAAGCTATTGATTTTATAAAGCACAACCGTGTTGAAATTTTAAATTTTACGTGTTGCACTATATTAATGATCGCAGCCGGAGCAGTATCATTCGATGAATACATTGCGGCTGGGATTACAGGACTATTCCGCCTGGAATTAGCAAACAAACTTAAGTGGAACTACCTCGCCGCCGCTGGTAGCTACACAATTTTTCTGGCGCTGGTCTTAGGATGTATTTGGGTACAACACCGCTTCCGACATCGCTTTTATAGAGTAGCTTAAGCCACGTGGTTCCGACCGACTTCCCAACTTCTGGAGTTAAAAACACACTGGGACAATAAATCAAAAAATATCAAAAGAAACTTTGGAATGCAGCACCAAGTTCAAAATTTGTATCCAGTTTAAATCTATTTCTGTATCTTGAATATATATTATATGTCTCTGAAGTAAAGTACATTGTTATCCTTTCAAAATTTTGTAGTAATCCTTTGGATATACCTAATTTGGGGCTTTCCGATTGACGATATCGCAACTTTACACGTTTAAAGTCGACAACTTAAAAACTGAGGTCCTGACCAGAAACATCTATACTTTATAGGGTCGTAGCTGATTCTTTTACGGCTTCTCCTATTTCTACTCCCATTGTCTACTTTTATTAAATGACTATGAAATCATAAAGAGAAGGACTTTTTTGAAAGGACTACAAATACGAGCACTTACCCACTCTCATTTCGGCACAGGAGTCGGTCAGGTTGAGCGTCTCGTTGGTACAGTTGAACCGGTAGCCGTCGAGGTACAGGCCCGTCAGGTTCTGCTCGACGAGGAGTCCTCCGCCGCTGCCGTGTCCGGCGGTGGCCACCGCCCCCGCCATTGCGGTGGTGCTCGTTCCCGTCACCGCACTGCCATTGTAGTTTGGAAAATAATCGTTAAAGTTTTCGAGCAGCAGCATAAATGTGCTGCCTCCCGAGCCTCCGGCTGCAGTGCCAGGCTCTGCACCCCCCAGACCTCCTCCTGCTCCTCCCCCGTATCCGGTTGCAGACCCTGCTCCCGCCAAGCCGCCTCCTAGCCGATGGTGGGTGCGATTTGCTAGAGTCTCGCGGGCTGCCGTAGCGGTTCTCTGAATCAACTCGGCGTTCCCGAAGTTGTTCAGCAGACCGTAGTCGGTCTCTGCATCCGCCACGTTGTCGAGGGCCGCCTCCTCCCCGCTGTCGATGAGGGCTATGCCCCCCGATTCCGCCTCCCCTCCGACGGCGCCCTCCAGCTGCTGCTCCACGAAGCTGCGCAAATCAAAGCGACCCGTCTCCGGGGCCCCGGTCGTCGTGCCACCCGCCAGCTCCATCTCGGCCTCCACCGCGTCCAGCGCCTCACCTGGCGGGGTGGCGTTCCCCCGTAGCTGGCCGGCCAGCTGGGTGGTGTTCAGCATCTCGCCGAGATTTCCGAGATCGTTGACTCCCAGCCAGCTGCCCAGTGTATCGTTCGCCATGGAAGTGCTGTTCTCCGTCGCCGGCCCGCCGGCAGAGGGTCCCAGCAGCCATTCGCTGATATCGTCGATCAGCGCGTAGCCGGCGTCCTCCGCCGCCGCTTCCACGTCCTCGTACAGCGTCGCCCCAAGGTCCGTATCCGTTGGCCGGCCGCCATCTCCACTACGACTGACGCCGGCGCCGCCGCCCCGTGTCGCCTCCGTCGAGCGGTTGTTGTTGAGCAGTTGTTGCAGCCACGTGGTCGCAACGGTGGACGTGCTGGCCGCTACTGCGAGCGCTGCCCGCGCTGTTGTTGCCGCCGCAGTTGTTGCATTTCCACCCGGCATTGTGCCGTTACAGTGGGCTCCTCACGCCACACCGCCCCCAGCCCCCACCGCCGCCAATCGAGTAGGGCTCTGCCTCTAGTGGGGCGGAGGGGAGGCAGCAGACGTGAGCTGCAACACGTGCAACGCCAGCGGCATGTTTTCGAAAGCTGGAAAAGGACAAAGTAATAATTACTATTTATCTTATTAATAATTAATTATATTTTATGTGCTTTAAAAAATATACATACTAAGCTTTAAATTTCATAATAAAATATTTTTTTATTTAAAAATTAACTTTGTGGAATTCCCGTGGTAAGGAACTACTTTTGATTGGGAAAGCGATTGAATTTTTAATCGATTTATACGTACAGGACACACACACTGATTGGGTCAGGCACTTTGTGCCAATGCAATTATCTATCAGCCCGACCTGCCACGCCCCACGCCCCACGCCTCCCACCCCATACCCCACTCATCCAGCAACTGGCTGGCATGGCCGCATGTTTAATTAACTCTTTAATCAATTTATTGCCAATTATTCTACAAAAAGCGACAGCGAAAATTGTGTAATTTAATTAAATTAGCAAAAGGTTTTTGTGTCTCTCCCTCCGATGCCCGGTCCCTCCTGACGGCGTTCTACTTTCCAATTTCTACGTTTTCCCGCCCGCCTCTCCCCTCCCTTTGAGCCACTCGCTTTCTCCTCGACTTTCACCGCGCTATCTTGCTTTACACATTTTGCAATTTCCGCCTTTGTATTTGCCAATTGACGCTGATTAAAGCCGCCTCGGTTGCCGGCCATAATTAAAAGATGGCCCGTTGTTGCTGCCTAATAGGAGGGAAGAGAGTGGCCCGTAATCGGAGAGCCCGGCCAGCAAAGGGTTCTCCGGCTTGGACTCGGTCTCGGGGCTTGGAGCTCATTACCCCAAGAGGACTCTTGGCCGGATCGGGGGGATCTCACGCCGGTCTTGGCCGCTGCCTGCACTAATCAAATTTTTTGGCACACAACCAAAATTCAAAGACCGGGGCCCGAGGTCCCAGACCCAAGGCGAAGTGGCCATTCAGAATGGCGCAGTGCCGTACGTACGTGTCCGCATCCTTGTCCGCACAAGTGTCCGTCTGGCTCTTTCATTAATTACGCCAAGCAACTGAACTCAACTCGACTCAACTCAAACGAAACTGAGCCGGCCTGAGCCCAACTTGCAACTGAACTCGGCTCAGCCGGAGTCGAGTAATTAATTTCACTTTCGCCTGAGCGATGCCTTTGAATATGCGCCACTGGCACGCAAGCCATAAAGCACAGGGGCCCCAGCCCGGATCCGTATTCCGGAGGCTCTCATCCCCATCCCCAGTTCCAGACCCAGACCCAGACCCAGACCCGACTCCGGACCCGGACTCTTACCCAACTGAGTGTCACTTCCTGTCATGAACCAGGGCCACTACTGCCACCACATAACTCAGGCTGCTGCTGGATGGCTCGGTCTATTACATCCTAATCATTGTTGGCACACATCACCCGGACCATTGCCATTCCGTCCGGCGACAGAACACGGAATCGTTAAGTTCATACGGCTCACCGCAAATCAAGTTTTCTTTCTCCGGAGGAGTGGCCGGAGTGAGGGGTGGACGGCTGTTGCCTTGCCCTCAAGGACACCATCCCTTCGGGTCTGTTTAATTATTTCGTGATGTTTGAATTTCAAAGGCAGCTTGGCCAACATCTTGGTCGTTTGGTGAGCTATTTTGCAAGGCAAAGTTATTTTACAGAAAGGATTCACTCCTGTCAGTGTGTTCTGATAGGGGTTTCTATTTTGAAATATTTTCTGGTTAGAGATAAGCTATAATTAGCTAGTGTTTTTTCCAAATTAATTGGTAAAAGTTTTTCTCGACTTAAAGTTCGACTTCATTATATTTTAGATTATAGAAAACTACCAAGTTGATACATAGTTCTACATACTATGTTAATAGGCAGAGACTTTTAAGAAAATTGTATTCCACGTTTTTAAAACTAAGTGCTATAAGTGCTATAAGAGGGTGCTCCCATAATTTGTACTATTAATTATTTCGAATTCTATGAAACATATTTTGTCTTGTCTTGTCCATTCCAAACAGTTTGGAATAAAAAGAGCCTATTGTTGTCAACCAATCCCTTTCTATCTATTTCTGTATTGTTTTTCAAATATTCACATCGCCCTCTGATATCCTTCGGCTCTGAGATCCTTAATCATCATTCAATGATGATTAAGAAAGACTTTGGATAACTACCGGCCATTTGTGACCTGCCCAAAAGAGTAAATATCACGTATACGCCCCAATAGTAGAACAAAATCGAAAGCGCCCCTTTTGATAGCCCATTGCCCACTCCGTAACTCTCCACCGCTCCTTATATTACAAACTTATAGTTTTAAGGCCACAAAACACCTGATTCATATTCGCAGATTTTATTACCAAGGTTGGAGCGATTGCTCGGCCAGGAAATGAGGTCAAAATGTGGGGCTGGCTTTTTCCTCGTAATCGAACTCATTTGGAGTGCATTTTAGCAGCGGAACCCGTGGACCATTCACCAAAGGAGTCGCAGGCCTTGGCGCTAAAAGTTGAACCTCCCCCACTGAACACAATTACTAACCGGCCGGGCTCACAGGAGGCGGGCCCGGGAGGAAGTGGCTCTAATCACTTGACCCCACTCAACCTTCGGGCGCTTATAATATGACGTGGCCACTGCAATCCAATCCGAGCAATCCCAGCCAATGTCGTGCCTCATTAACAACATCCGGGCAGTGGCAAGGCATTTCCTCCGAGCCCCTGCCGTTGCCCATGCCCCACTCTTTTTGCACCACACGACACTCAATAAATCAGCAAGTGTAATTATTTTCAACGCCATCGTTCAGGAGTCGCGTGCGGCCCGAGGGGCAGTGGGGCAAGGGGTGAGTGGTGAGGGCCGGAGAAAGAAGAAAGTTTGGGGTGAAAGTTTGTCAGCTGAATTTTTGCGCCCGGCGGTGCAAGGCCAAGGAAACACACACATGCCGAGGCGGTGGAGGAGGCGGGGCGGAGTAGTTCGGGGCAGGGGCAGGGATAATGCAACCCTGAAAGTCCTTTGCCCCTTCGGGCTTGGTTTATTTACAATTACAATTTTTAGTTTTTGTCCCCAAGCCACAGGAGTCTGCATTGCGTCTCATTTAAAGTTTCTCCATCACTGAGAGAATAGGTTTGAATATTTTTAATTAAAAAAGAATAGTAAGAATATAGCTTTGAATATTTAAAAAATATATATATTTTCTTTAAGTTTTAAGCACATAGGTGGAAATCGCCCTCGTTTCTCTCAGTGCTGGGATCGATTACAGGACTAGGTGTGAGGCTGTCCTGCCATATCGCAACTCGCATAACTGTGACCCGGCCCATAATTCAAATTGAGTGCCAATGGATGCGGATAAATAGAATTCAGGAGGGTCGGGGTCGCCGGGGATGGCCGAGGTGGTAGGCAAATTGGTTTCAGATTTTACTCAAACACACACACTCAGTGGGAGACTCATACACATACACATCACCCTGAGGGCAAAAAAAGAATCACGACACCAAAAACGGATCCCTGCGAATGTCCTGTCCATATGTGGAGGGTGCTCCGCTATGTGTGTCGCCTGGGGGACTGAACAGATGCTGCTGCCTGCCTGCCTGCCCGGCTGCCTGCCTGGCCAAGATAAACAATTTGATGACTATCTCCCTCCGACCGCCGCCTCTCTCGCTCGGCAATCGCTAAACGCCAGCGGCAAATGCTTGTTAACTAGTTATGCGGCGAGTCGACTGTCCGAAACTTTAAACATCTGACACCCAGCGCCAAATGAACAGGAGCAACACCAGTGACGGCTGTGTGGCAACAACGAGCACAGCGGCAACATTATTCCAAGGCAGCAGCAGCCACTGTCGGAGAAACTTTTTACATTTGTTCGACATCAGCATGACATTTGATTAATTCCATTAGATCCGCCTGTTTTTGGATGGCGAGGTGGCTCTGCAGCCCCGGGCTGTGCCCACATGGCGTATGAGCTATCAGCGAGCATCGCAAATCACGTATACGCCGCGTGGGCTGCTGGTTGAGGGCTGTGATGGGCTTAAGCTGCGCTGTAGTGTTCTTCTCTATTCATAATTGCTTTTCAGGACTTGGGACTGAAAACTCCTGCCTCTGGAATACTATTTAGTTTACAAGCTAAAAACTAAAGCATTTCTTCGGTCTTTTTAAAATATTTTCGCAAGAAAATCTGACTTTGCCAGGCGGGCTTAAAGTTATTGTTTGAATAAATGGAAAAGGGGGCTGCAGGGACCCGGCAGCTGACAAAGGGAATCGCGACGACTAGATATATACGTGTACACGGATATATATATATTTTTGTATATGGAACAAAAACCGCTTATCGCTTCAAGTCTACTCAAGCGTCAACAGAGCGATTCATTCGAGAATTTCTTATGCTTCAATGAACCAGAAGTGTTGTCGTTGTCGTTGTCGGCCACGTTGTCGTCATCCTGGTTCGCATCGTGGCTATATTTATACCCCTAGGTGTGAGTGTGTGTGTGAGCAAGTCATCTAAGCCAGAGCACACCACACCCACACCTCCTGGCCTGGTTGCCTGGCCAATGGCTGCCCCTTTTTTGTGCCAACGCATTCGATTTTTACCCACCGCCCTGGCCTTTTATTGTGTGCTATCCTCTCCCCTCTTCCTTTTTGTCTAATGGAAAATTATTGAAAAGAAAAGCCAAATTGCACGCTCAATTTTCTGCGGCCGGGACTCGGCAGGAGGCTGTCATGTCCTGTTTCCAAAAAGGTTTTCGTTTCTGATGCAGAAGAAGTAAAGTGCGCCCAAATTGACCAGAAGGAGCAAAGGACACCGGCTAGCACGGCCAGGACGGCCGAGCAGGGCCAGAGATTAGGCGTGCTCCTACTCTATTACTTCACCCGACTAATCTGAGGTTTATGGGCTATTTTTCTATAAATTCCAACTACTTTGAGGCTCAGTTCGTGCGCCGTGCTCTCAAATATTTATAAAGGACGACGACAACTACCGGCAATCGAAAAGTTCCTGCAAACTAAGGCTGCAGACCTGATTCCAACTCATTATTTCAACTTGCCGGAGGGGCTGCTACTTGTTTTCCCTTTTTTCCGTCCTCTGGAAGATATTTAATA